AAGTCTGAGAGAAAAAGAGTTTTCTTTGAAGCGGACATCACGTCTTACAACTGTTTGTTGAGTGTTGGGACTTAAAATAATATGGTCACCAGAGAATTCGCAGCCAACATAAATACCTTCTCTGGCTTTGGATTTCAATTTGTTACTATCTGGCTCAAGCCAAAAAGTACGACAGCCAAAAGGGTGAAGGTTATGAATTTTAGGCATTGTATGAAAAACTGAGTAATACAGCAAATTCGGAGAGACAAAGTTAGGAGTGACGTTGAGAATATAAATGGAAGCTGTGTTAGAGTGTAGAGAAGACTTCGGAGTAAGAATTGCCTGAGAACGGAGAAGAAGTTCAGTTTGCTTGATTGACTAATAGACTACAGGTATTATGATATATACAGTGGAATTACAAGAAAGAGAGGTTATCCGGAACCGACTCGACTGCAGAAATAAGTGGGACCCTGTACCAGAAAATAATTATCCACTGACTCAGAATGCTGGGTCATGCAATAGAAATACAAACAAACCAATGACTGGAATTGTTCGGGAAGAATGGGATTCAAGCAGACTCTAACGTTGAGTCCGATTGAATCAGAAGTGTGGGATTGTCAGGCGCAGGTTCACTAGGCGCAGGACTCGAGGCGTAGGAGAGGGCGTAGCGTAGGATGTGTTGTAATTCTAACAGTCCTGCATCTGTTACACTAGTCATGTACTATCTCGTTTTCGTTTCCGTTATTTGTATCATTTAATACTGCGCCACATCTATTTTCTGTAATATTAATTAGTCTTGGCGCTTAACACAAGATATGTTGGAAATTATGGTATATGCATGATTCTGTCTTACACTCAGCTAGCTTGGGGGTCTTCTGGTGGTCAAGACATACCTTCACCATGATAATGTTGCCATACTGGGACATGGGCGCATATCCTGGCTTATTTCTAAATTTGTCTCAGTAGGACTAATCCCTGTATATATATGTAGTGTTCTTCTCCTTCAGAAATCCTCAGTTCATTACATTTACTGAATATCTCTGAAGGTCTATTCATACCCTCTTCGTGTCACCCTACCAAGCTTCACCCTTGAGCTCTATTTAACTGCTTCGTTCGGCATATATCCTTCACCTCCATATACCATTCCAGCATTCCTCTACGATCCATAACCTCACAATAGGATGTACTGAGGAAGGACGCCTCGTGGTAACGCAGAGGGATTTCTAGAGAAGTGGTAAAAGGGAAAGCGGGGAGTCGTTCTAGATAGAGGGGCCGGAGGTGACAGTAGGTCACTATGTTTGGCAGAGGACGAGAGTGAGATGTGATTAAAATAATGTAACTATTCCTAAAGACAGAAAACAAAGCGTGAAGATATCAGTCTCGGAAATGGAAACTACATAGGTGCCCTCGCTAAGCAATAAAGACTAGTGGAATTAAATAAGAAACCCATAAATCCTGCCTGAGGCATTTCTCAAGAATCCTTACAGGATCCTGCCCGAACTCAGAAATATAGTTCAGGCAAGATGCATGCAACCACATTGGTTGGTAGAGAGAAAAGCAGGAAACTGTATTTCCAACAAGCTGCAAGGATGAGAGGCCACAAACGTAATGGTAAGCCAGATCGTAAATGAAGAGCACGCATTTTTTCTGTAACAGTCCGGACATTTCTCTCCACTATTCCATTTTGTTCTGGGGCGTGTGAGGAAGACCTATGCCACTCGATTCCGCTGGATAAGAGATTTTGTTGGAGATCCGAGTTAGAGAATTCAGTGCCACTATTGGTATGTATAATTTTAGGAGTTTTGCCAAATTTTGTCATTAAATGTTCCAGTAGTTGAACAATTTGGATAGGCACAGTTTTCTTCGAGTAGACTGGCCATGCCCACTTCCAGGAAGTGAACTCATCAATGGCAAGAAGAAATCAGCTTGCATTAGGAATCAATTTATCAGTTGTGGTAGGGAATAATGACTTTTGATCTCCGACTAGGTCCATATGGATGACCTCTCCAAACGAAGATGCACTATGTAAAGAGCTATATCCTTTGGACTTGGTGATTTTGGTTTTGATGCAAGTCTCACAGTTGTATGGAAATTTGTAACCTTTAATACCTGCAGTTTTTAAGGCTATGTCTTGTGCTTTCTGTCCAGGGTGACCAAGTATACCATGCCAATTGCGTTGCACAGGATAGAGTTCAGGGTTTACTAAGTTCAAAGGGGGCTTATATATTAACCTGCCAGAAGTGCGACGAAAAATTGCACAAACTGTACCATCAGGACGAAGAAGTTCGACATTACGTTATTCTGATGGCCATTGTATTGAGAATCCTTGGCTTTCTAGTTGTGCTGAGGAGAGAATTTGATTTCTTTGACCTGGCATGTGAATAGCTCCCTTTAAGATTTCGGTTTTGCTGTCAACAGTGGTAAAATTTAGGTCACCACGGCCAGAAGTTATCACTTTACCTCCTCCGGCTACATAAATAATCTGCAATGCAGGGGAATAAGAAGAAAAGTCTGATTTATTTCCAGTTACGTGAAAATCCGCAGCAGTATCCAACTGATAACTATAATCTTCTAAACATTTATCAACAGAAAGAATATTCTTGTTCCCTTGATTTAGACCCGATCGAGGTTATTCTTGAGTTTTTCCCTTGTGAACGTTCATTTTCTTCCAACATTTGTCTTCACTGTGTCCAACAATATGACAAAAATTGCAAGCCTTTGGCTTGCCTGAGGATCTAAACGAATTACTACAGGTCCATTTTAGACACTCAGAGATTGTATTTTCATATGATAAATCACGGCACCGATTTGCCAGATCAGGCTGTAGCTTTCTAACGTGAAAGAGTAAGAGATGGTGCATCTAAAAGTGAATTTCTGTCATAATCTGAAAATGTTCCCTTAATTCCTGATATTGCTTTTGATACTCTTTCATAAAGCTTTGTAAATTGGTATTATTTTCAGGTTGATAAGTCCAAAATCGAGAAACAATGGAGTTTACGTTTGAAAATGAAGCAGCTTGAGAAGATGTAACAATTTCATTCAGGATAGCTCGAGGGTTATCACGAGGTGCTGTTCTAATATGAGGGACCGTCTCACAAAGTTAAGCGACCCACCACGTTGACCACATTCAAATGGCTTTATTTCGAGGTAGTTGAGGAAGGAATGCCGCAGAGGTTTGGGAAAAAATAATCAAATTTTCGACAGATTCAAACCATTGAAACCAATTAATTTTCTTAAGACAAGGAAGTGGTGTCATCTTGTCAATGCTTTGTAATTGGTCAGTTAGCATCCAGATTTCTGTCTTTCTCTGAGACTCTTTGATCGATTATTTCAAGTCATCTGCAGTAGCAAATGTGAGACCACCAATGATAATATCATTTAATTCATTGGAAGGAGAATTATCATCTTTGAGGGGATGTTTTCCCTCAGTAGTCGGGGCCTTAAAGGAGTCAGACAACATGAAAATGTGCGAGAGTTGCTATCAGATAATATATTTAGATGAATACGAGAGCACCTTAATTGATGTTGTTGATTAAGAAACAGAAGCTGAGAACGAAGTGGAAGCAACTAAAGGGCCATAACCTGTTGTGATCAAAGCATGTTGTGCTGGTGATGGCTAGGATTACGATGCACGAGGGTAATGATCACTGAGGGTGAAGGAAGAAATTTCCAGGTGGCTCCATGATGAGTAGAGGAACAATGGAGCACTGTATAGAAAGTGTTTCTAGATTGTACTGCCAGATGGAGGAGACTAGAATATTCCGTGATACTATTTTGGGTAAATGAAGCGAGAGTCAAACCACCTCAGATGTGTATATAATTAGCGCTTTCTACCTCCTAAATCCTCATAGTTCTGAATATCAAATATATCAGCAGTTCAGATTGATTCATCGATGATCACCCGAAAACCTTCTGCCAATTTACCTCCGTAAGCTCTTACCTTTACAACAATGGACTAGTATCATTACAGAGGTTTGTAGGAGACATCACTGACAGATGTATTGAGAATCTTCTAGGAAATTGTCGAAGAGTCCATATTATTCTAGTTATAGGGGGAACCTTATTGAAGGGGAGTACCTCAAAGTATATCTCAAAGTGTATATATATTTGTAGTCTAGCTGTAGGAATTCTCTCTTCAGAGAATTATAATTAGGAAAATGTACCTACAAGATTTCCCATGCATTTGGTGCTGAAATTATGACAGTGGCAAGAACCTTGATTTCTAACAGTTTTCCAATCATGGCCCACCATATGGTTCGTATCATGTAGAGATGAAGACTGGGAAGGGCTAGTAAAAATGACTGAAAAACAGAACGCCATCCCATGATGAGCACAATTTTGGGCCCTCTTATTTGCAACAGATGGGCCTTGAGTGAATTAGATACGAGAGCCAAGTCTGGTAGGATGCGCGAACGAGTGAAGCAAAAGTACCAAGCCCTTCATGCCTGTCAATAAATGTATCCCGCTTCAGCTTTTCTCAGCTGCTTGCCCTGGCTACACACGAAATCCCTTCACCAGATTTAAACAATAGACCATACCGACCAGGAATATCATCTAGATAGGCGTTGAATTCGAGGTAATTTACCAGATTCATGTCTTGGCAGTATGAGATTTAGTCTCTCCATATATGTGACAGTAATCTCGCATGATTCAGACAATCAATAATACCAAAGGCCTTAGAGAAGAGGATTGCACCCTTGTTTCTTTGTTGCATTGTACAATTGGTCTGTAGGCGGCAGCTGTAGAGGCATTAAATTCTTAATCATCACGTTACCACTACATTGTGCCTCCCCTAAATTTGAAGTACATGAAAGTTATCGTCCCTACAATAAAGATCATATAGAACTTCAACATCATCTCTAATCTCTACGACAGAATCACTGGCCCCTATCAATAATTTACACTATTTTATCGACTTCTATTCTACCCTGTCACTCTTATCCATCAGGGCCTTGGTTGTCTCATAGACCCCCGACTTTCTCAAGTTCATACTCTAGCTTTGTGAGATAGACGCTCTTTCAATGAAGATTCTCGGTGCTGTTTCCGCCAGCGCTTTTACTTTCTTGTTGCTCCTGGAGTCTGTTGAGCCATCAAATGTGTTTAAGTGTGCTTCTGGCGATATATTTTATATGGGGGCAATATATGACCTTGCATTAAAAGCTGAATATCAATTTTCGTGTCCCGATCACCCTTTAAGTCCCGATGGGGAAAAATGCAAGGCCTATTCGTTCACTAATCCATCGGAAATCAGTCAGTCCTCTTCGCTCTCAGCTTATACTATTACTGACAATACCCATTTAGTTAGCGCCAATTTTTTTTATTTAGTCCAAGTTTATGGTACAATTGACTATCACAGACTGTATCAATGGTATGATTTTAAATGGACTGAATGTAAATTACAGGAGAACGATCGGCAGAGAACACAACTATTTTCCAAATGAAATCAAGGGGTTTGTTAAATTACCTAGACATTCAGGGTAGGTTTACAGTACGAGAAGTGAAAGAACGCCAGATTGAACGAAAAGCTGCGCTGCCTTTTACACGGCCGCAGACAAAAATTTGTTATTTTTCCTCATTTAAACTTTCATTTACCCGATTTCCACTGTCTAACCTTCCGTGCTGTCATGTATGATATAGCTTGGAATACCACTGGTAATATATTAATAGGTCTTGCTTATTAGCCTGGCAAATTCCCGATCCTATGTTATTGTTATCGTTACATCCACTCCTGTAAGTTTGGTGCGCAATGATATTTATCTCATTCTAGCATTCCAGTGAATGACTGTCCCAAATGCAGGTTACAGAATGGTTTAAACCATCACCAATTGAATTGGTTCCGGGGATTGTAAGGATGACTTGCCAAGTAAGAGAATGAGTTGGAGTTGTGATGAATGTGTTTACTATCCAAAAAACTTTACTGATGAATGAATATTTATTCATAACGCACACAAGCCTTGAACTCAGAGCTTTATGCGGAGAAGGCGAGTCCTACCCCGGCAACTATATACGACAATAACTCGGTTTGACACTTGGACTACTCATATAGTGGTTGCATTTGTTGATACCACTCGAGACCTTGGTGCTAAGAACTTTCACCCATCCCTCAACCGTTAATATCCACAGAGGTGAAAACAGGAAAATCCTTTGGCTACTCTAACATGCCTTTATCATCTTGTATGTGGCCATCGCGCGAGATATGGCCTTACAGTCCTCCCTTTCTCGAGTGAGGAAGGAGTCCAGGCTACGCAGACTTGAATTCGGGAAGATGAAGACCAGGAGGTGGACCAAAACACCTTCCATCATTGCCTGTTTTATTAGAGTATAGAGATAACTTCAGAGTAAGATTTGCCTGAGAAGTGAGAAGAAGTACAAATTGTTAGAGCCTGCGCCTATCTACGAGTGACTGTCACTCGGACACTTATAATTACTACATTGTTAGCATTGCTGTCCAAAGAGATGTCCCACTTGGCCATACAAAAACAGGGTTGCAACGAATATGGAAATAGGATATTGTTGCAGCAAGTCTCACATGGAATCATGGGCCGACACGACCAAAATTTGCTATGAAAAGCCTACTCGGAATATCAAGGATATGGTGTAGTAGAACAGATAATGTGGTTAGCGCATGGGGAGTTGGGACACCTGAAGTAGCCTCCCCTCGGTTTACAGTTCCGAGATGTATGTGGGAAATAGACAACAATCGGCTACCATTCCTTTACTATATTGTTTTGTTGATTGCCCATCACATATTTTCTACATGAATCAAACATTGTTGATTAACCCATTAAACAAAATTTCCGCTCAACCAAAGACTAATAGAGAAGATGAAATCCTCTATGAGCTTCTGAATCCCAAGTGTAGAAATTAATACTGATTCGACCGACGACGCTTCCTTTCATTCCAGGGCAAGTTAAACTATGCCAGAATAAGCTAACATCAGCGGTGCCCAATGCGGCCAACCGCAAAATACGGTTCATGAGCAACTAGGAGAGCCCTCAGAATTCGAAGAGCCACAGAACCAATACCCTCAACAAACTGGGGACATTCCGTTATTTAATCCGTCGTCATCTCAATATCAGGCGTCATGTAATCAAATCAAAGAAGATATCACTCGCCGTCAACCCCTATTAAATGCGCAAAAGCATCCACAAGCAACATCTATTGTGCTTAAGAGCTATGCGCAAGTAATATTACGGAGTGATGAGGAGTGGATGAGGTTAAATTTAGTGGGTGACAGTGAATAGACTCATAAAGTTTTATGCTGTAGGTTGATGGACAGGAAGTATAAGACTAGACCTGTATCTGTTTATTGTGGGTATATCTATGGAACTAAATACATGCTCGCCTAACCAGTACATTAGTTATGTATGCTGTGGCCTTGAGCGACACGCAATGCGCTAGCCTCGACTACCTCGTTGTCTCATATCACAACAACATCAGCTCAGCTATAGTACAAAAAGCCCAGCAATTGATCTTCGTGGGACGGCTCAATCACCTCTCTATCATCTCATATTTACCAGCTAATTGTAAAAGTCGAAGAAGATAAACTTCAGCTAGGGTCAGGTCGCGCAATATGTCTGGGGATCCTCAATTCCATACCAGCAGATAAATAAGCTAGAGTGAGTCACTGGTTTGAGACAGGAGGCCCTCTAGGAAGGCACAACTGGAAAGATTTTGTCGAACATATCAAGCTCGAATTCTAAGATAAACAAGCCCGACAGACTGCAGGAGACCTACATCATCAGATTTGTATGGGCTCGAATCAATACTTTGCAATTTCTTTCAAGATTTTCAGGTTAAGCTCACACAATGTGGGAGAGCCAATTGGCCTGACAGCAGCAAGATAATGAAACTCAATTCAAGTATTAACAAATTGCTAAGTGACCATTTGGTATCAAAAGACCTACTTGATGATGATTTCGAAACATGGGTTTCCATGGTCAAAAGAGTAGCGGAACAAATCGAAAATCTAATATCCCATCAACCGACAGGCTGCACTAGCGAGAAAATTGGTATTTATCTCATAAGCAATCCAAGTAAAATTCCAGCTCTACAGACCAATATCTTCACGCACCAGATCTCGACAATGAAGGAGATACTAAGATGGGGGGAGCTAATGCTATTTAGGCTCTCAATCTCGTGCTCAACTCCCTAAATATTCGAAACAATATTAACAAGCCTAGGGCTAAATAGCGTTCCCTGGAGGAGTTTTAAAGTTTGTGTAGCAAGGGAAAATGCCAAAAGTGTCAAGAAATAGGTCATATATCTCGCGCATGCACTAAATTTGGTCCAGCTCAAAATCCCACTTCAAGGATTGCCTATGTAAAATGCCCCACAAAGACAAGAAAACAGAGCCAGAAATAGGAAAAGATCAACTATGAAGAGTTGGAGACCAGTGAGGTTTTGGGAGAAGAGTAAGCCCAGAGCAAGTGTCACAATCCGTGAGAGCCGTATTGCGTGCGTGTGGGAATACGGGTTAGTGCGCCTTGGCATCACGTTGGATGACTGAGCACAGCCGAGGGAGATATCTTAGAGAGGGTCGAGAGTAGCTACCTCCTCTCTTCGTCTTTTATTGCCTTTACAAGCGTACCTCTTGATAGCAATATAATAACTTATACAACCTCCTTGACGTGCCATAACATAATAAAAGACCATCACCTCGCTGGGAAGCAGTAATATCCACTCGGAACAAATTCGACGTCGGCACCACCTTTTTCGTACAACTCCTACAACTCCCGCCTTACCTATATAATTACAGGTGCCTTCTGCCTCATATCTCGATTGCAAACAGTCTTAGAGCAAGCTGAACTCCCTCTCTCTATTGGCATCACCTTTTTGATACAATACCTCAAACTTTGCGACTTTACAACACGGATTCGCGCTTCAGCCTCGTACGCGCATTCTCAACTACCAATCTCGACCTCTGCAAACCCCTCCCTACCTACGCGCATTTGTCTCAATACTACATACACGAAGAGTGGTCCCTCCCATATGCAACCGCGCCGAAGCAATTGAGAGCTCTCTACACCAGCCCGATTTGGATACCCCGTGGAGGAAAAGAAGAAGAAAGTCGATACCGCGCCAGTGGAGGAGAACATATTGAGCACTATTGAGAGTGATACAATCAAGGAGAAAGACGAACACACAATGGTGGACCAAGCATTCTCTGCCAGCCAGTTGGCGGCAATCAACGAGATGCTCAAGACTGCAATTGCTTCTGCTCTCGCCGTTGAAGCTACCGAAAATGCTGCTAGAAAGTCTCGCGCACTTACTGCAGACCTACCACCGGCTGTCGATCACTACCTCCCAAAGATTGACAATTCTGTCAAGCCTGTCGGTTCTCACAAGATTCGCTATTCCCGCCTCCTCTTTACCGATCACAATAAAGAGATTGAGTACGATGCTTGGAAGATGGACATGAAGCTCTTTATTGAGGAGTTCTCTGGTAACTTCTGCGATGGAGACTCCAAGGTAAAGGCGTACTTCAAGTGTACTGGAGGAGAGGCCAAGACTATTATCCTTCAGCACATGGATACAGATGTTATCACCGAATTCAAGGGTGCTACCGACGTCCTCGCTGCCCTAGATCATTGTTTCTTCGACTCCAGCTGTGTCCAAAAAGCCAAAGCTGCCTACAGCAACTTGAAGATGACTAGTAATATGACATACAATCAATTCCGCATCAAGTTCACCAACCTAGCCATCACTGGTAGAATCGTCAGGGCTCGTTGGTTTAATGACGTTTGTGAGAAAATCTCTCCAGCCTTAAAGCTCCAAATTATGACTGAGAAGTACAAGATGAGCAACAACTACACTACTCTCGACGAGTTCTTAGCTGTCACCAACCGAGAATCTCGCAACATCCTCGCCGAGGATGCTCCCCATAAGAAGGTAGTCGCTTTCACCGTCGGAAACAACGCTAGCAGAAACCCGAGTATTTTGAAAAAATCGGGATGGACTGCTGAACGCTTGACGGCTGACGCTGCTCGCAACACCCCCGCTGTACACTTCCCTACCACTCCTGAGACCGTACCACAAGTCATACGCCGTACTCTCAGCGCTACCAATACCTGTTGTCTCTGCCAAAAGGAAGGCCATTGGGCTAGGGATTGCCCCAACGCCGTAAAGATTGCAGAACTGACTGGTAGATCGGTGGAGGAATTAATGTTAGAGCACAATGACGGCGACGAGGACGGCCTACAACCTGTTGAGGTTGACAATCTGTCGGGAAACTCTTAATCTGTGGAACGGTCTCCTCTCATGGCAAATGCCTCGATTTGTTGAAAGTCTTGAATGCTGATTTCCGTTCTCTTATAGGAGGAAAACAAATCCTAGTTAGTATTGAATTAGGTAGAAATGGATCATTCATCAAAACAACTGCACATATCGACGGCGGAGCAAATATCTTTGGGGCGCTTCGTACCTCTGTTGCTCTCCAACTTCGTGACCTTTTAGGCGTCAAATTCCTTACCCTCCCCAAG